TAATATCTTTTTTTCATTAATTTAAAAAAATGTTGGCGACTGGCAGGTTTCGATCCTACGACTCTTATTAATTTAACTTAGTATTTCATATTTATTAAATTACAAATAAGTGTTTTACACGTAAAACTACAGCCGCTTCTTGTTTATTTGATTTTATTTTCCTTCTCTTTTATTTTTGGATTTTTTATTGTTATATATCCCTTTTCTTTTTCTTTATTTCTTTCTCTTTATTTCTTAATTTAAAAATTTCACTATTATATTTTCAATTCTTCTTTTTATCATTCTTTATTTGTATTGTCTTTCTATTTCTTTTATTTCTTTATTTACTTTCTTATTCTTCTTTTTATATTATGTTTAATGATTTGAACTTATCATATTTATGATTTAATCTCATCATCATCATATTTTCTTTTTTATTCTTTAGTAATCTTTAAAATTATTCATTAATTATTCTTAAATTATTTCAAATTAGTGTATTCTTATTCTTTTCTTTTTATTATTGGTATATTTTATTATGTAATTTAGATACTTCATATTTCATTTATATTAATCATATTTATCATTTCTTTCATTAATAAAATTATAAATAAAACAATCAATATAATTAATTTATTCTTATTTAATGTTAATACATTTATAAAAATTATATTTAATGTTTGTTGATTTATTAATGTTTATTCATTATTTTATGTTGTTATTTTATTCTTTATTTCTTGTTATATGTTTTATTGATTTTAATATTCATTAATTTTCATTTTATTAATTCTTTTATTCATTTATTTCAGTTTTATGTTTGATAATTAGAAATATTATCAAATCAAATTCTTACATATACAGTATTCAATAACAATTTAACATTTTTTAATCATTGAATTCTACAACTATTTCATCACAGATAATTGTAGAAACATCATTCACAACTGAAAGAGTAAATTGGAAATTAAAGAATTTTACTTCTTGATATCCTCGTTGTTTAAAATTTTTGAACTATTTTGATAGAATGAGTTAAAGTTGTCATTTTAAATAATAATTGATTTGTAAAATGTATATCAACAAAAATGAATTTAATTAACTATATAATCAAATACATATAATCTTCAGTTAATTAAAATAATCATGTAATGTATAGAAAGAATTATCTATATGAATAAGACAGTACGACGTATATTATAGTGATGAATGAATATTAATTGATATGTGATAAGATAAACAGTAATAAAACAAAAGAGATGACAAAACAATAAAAGAATAAAAAAATAAAGGATGCAAATTTTATTGAAACAAATAAGAAAAACGCAATAAAAAAACGCAAAATTTAATGATGCAAAATATTTAGCAACATATTTTATTGATGCAAATTATTTTGAAATAAAAATAAATCATCATTTGATATTATTATTATATTTGATAATAAATTATATTATATATTAAATACATCATATTTCTTTATTATTTATCTTTCTTTTCTTTTTATTATTTCATATATTAAATTATTATTCATTCATTTATTATTTATTATTTATATTTCATTTATTAAATAAAATGAAAATGAAATTGTAAAATATCAATCAATTAAATATTCATGAATAATAATTTATTAATATTTAATAATTGAAATAATAAATAATAAAGTAACAATAATGATATATTCAATATATTCTTTATTCGATTTGTTCAATATTAGATTATTCTATTTCATTATCTATTTCATTATTTTATTTCATTTGTTATTTCATTTATTATTTCATATTCATTTATTATTTTTTAAAATCAAATAAACAATAATATTGATATTCATTCATCATATTAATTTAATATAATAAATATACACAACATTTAATAATAAATAATGAATATTTAACATTGAAAATGTTGATTTATTTAATATTTTGTTCAACATAAAATCAATAAAACATATATTTTGATAATATATAAATGAAATATTAAAGAAATATACAATACTCAAGAACTAATAAAAACAAAATAAAAAGAATGAATGAATATAAAATTGATAAATAATAGAAGAAAGAAATAGAAAAACAACGAAAAACAAATAATATAAAAAGAATAAAAATATATAAAAGAATAAAAATAAAGTAGAAGAAGAATATAAAAATAATAAATCACAAAGATGTAATAAAAGAAGAAAAGAAGAAATAAAAAGTGTATTTTTATTGTAAAAATTAGAAATATTCAATAAAAGTGTCTAATTTAATGATGTAAAATGATTAACAATATTTTATTAATGAAAAATATTTTACTCTCTTTATGTTTATTATTTATGTGTATAACTTCAACATGATGTTTATTATATAATCAATCATATGTGTTATGTTATTATAACATATAATAAGTGATAAAATATAAATGAAAATGATATGAATATATGATATAGAATATAAAAACAAAAGAATAATAAGAATAAATGATAAATAAAACGAGAAATGATAATCAATGATATAATAATAAAATCAAAATATAAAAGATAAAATTAATATTAATATAAAACAAAAGAGAATAAATATAAAATGAAAATAGATATAAATGATAAGAATATAAAAATGATAAGGATGAATAAACAAATACATTTAAATAGAAAAGAATAACAATAAGAAAATCTAAATAATATAAACATAAAAATAATAAAACAAGAATAATATAATAATATATAGATAATAAGAAGAATACAATGATATAAATAATATAAACAGAGAAATAAATATATAAAAATAAGATACATAAATAACATATAAATAAAAGAATATAAATAATTAAAATAATTAAATATGAATAATCAAATAATCTATTTCATTAATATTTCATACAAAATGAATACAATTGATAATAAAATATAAACATAAATATTTACATATTCTGTATTTATCATACTTTTTATTTTTTTATTTTTTTTAGGAGCAAAATATAATAAATGGAATATTCTATTGATGCAATTTTTTTGCATCTTTTTTTCATTTTTGTCAATTATTTAGATGCATTTTTCTTTGCTAATTTTCGTACCCTATCTTTCTCATTTCTTATTCATCATTTCTTATTCATCATTTTTATTTTATTTCTTCTACTATCTTAATATTTTCCACTTCTTAATTCTTTATTTTCTTCTTCTATTATATTTTCTTTGTTCAATCCACTTCTTGTTGTATTTCACATATTTCTGTCTTTACTTCTTGATTATTATTTATTCATATTTTTCACACAACATCTTACTTATTTTCTTTTTTTTACTTCTAACATCATTCATTGTTATTTGTTATTAATATATTTCATATTCTGTATTTATCAGTATTTTTCTTAACATTCTCATTTATGTTTATCAAAGTAATTCACAAACATTAGTATTTCTATTCCATTCTTCTGTTCTATTTATTGATGTAACAATCACTACTCGGAGTATTCTTTGATTGTTTTAGAATACATACAGATGACATTCAATATCCAAATCAATACAATGCTGTAAGTTGTTTAAGAGAAGAAAAAGATAATGATAAATAAAGAGAGAAATGAAATAACAAACATACAATCAAAATATTTTTGTGTTAAAAATATTGAATTATTGTAAATTTCACATGATCATGAGATTAATTCAAATGTACATAATACAGAAGTATATAACTATAACAATGAAATAGTTTATTTGATGTAATAAGAATGAATAAGAAGAAATAAGAATATAAAAAGTAACAATCATAATATAAATAAGTGATAATAAAGAAATAAATATAAATAATGGATATAACAAATGAGTGTATAACAAATGATATGATATTTAAATAAAATTTGAAATGACATGTATAATGTTGAAACATCATATTTTTCATTTAATTATTTCATTAAATAATTGTAATTTGAATAATTTGAATAATTTAATTACTTCATAACTCCAATAATATATTTTATGAATAATCTAATAATGTTCAATATTTTATGTATTATTTGTTTTATTGAAAATATGTAGAAATACAAATAAATTGATAATAGATTATTCATGAAATACATAATGATAATCAACACAAATGATAATAATATATTTGATGAAGTATTTTAAGTATGTTTATTATGAAAGAAAAAGGTTTAATGTTTAAACACTGATGAAATGTTTTAATAAACATTAATATAACTTACATTATCATTAGAAATAACTAATGAAGTGAATTAAATAATTTATGTATTAAATTGATAAAATAAATTGTTATGATTAATTCTTTCTCTATTTAATTTATTATGACTCAACTTTTATACTTCTAATTTTCATTACCAAACTTTATCTTAGAGATAATTCTTTGTATTTGTATGAATTGAATTTATAATAAATTATCAAACAAGTTGTTTCTTAATATTTGTCATTAAAATAAAGTTAATTACCATTTATAATTATTTCATATATTCTGTCTTAGTCTAATGGAACATCCCTATTCTCTATTGTCCATCCTAGATGTTCTGAAACTCTTCTCCTAACTTTAGCAGGATTTCCAACAGCAATCATATTGTCTGGAACATCATGCGTGACTACACTTCCTGACCCAACAACCGCATTTTCTCCAATTGTTACACCTGGTAAGATGATTGCACCACATCCTATCCATGCTCCATCCTTGATGGTAATTGGTTTTCCATATGCTGTTCCACCACATGCGTTTCTGATCTTTGGATCAGTCGAGTGTGTACCACCTATAAGACTAACATTAGGTCCTATCATCACATTATTTCCTATTTTCACTGGTCCACCTTCAAGAATATAACAATTAATGTTAATGACTGTGTTGTCTCCAATGTCAATGAAATTTCCTCGTGTGCAATTGAATGGCACAAAGACATTGCTATTTTCTCCTAAGTGACCAACTATTGTTTGAAGGATTTCTCTTCTCTTAGTAAAATCTCGTTCATGGTTGAAATCAAATAACTTATTTCCTAATGCAATTGATGCAGCAACTCCATCAGGTGTTGCTGGTATCATAATTTTACCTTCTAACATATACTTTGTTTCTTGTTCAGCAGTGGTGTTCATCTAGTGTTTTATTGATTTATTATTTGTAGTATTGATTCTCATAAAAACAATATATTCAAAACTATAACAAAATTTTGTTTAGTTGGAACTTCAATACCACCGAAATTTATGACAATTTTATTTTATTTGAAATTTCCTTATTTTCTATACTTCATAAAGAATTATATATAAACAGCAAAAAGAAAGAATAAATAGGAGATGGACTTTTACTTTACATTAAACAATGGTTATAAAATTCCTAAACTTGGACTTGGAACATGGATGTCAGCGAATGGAGAAGTTGGAAAAGCAGTAGAGATTGCGATAAAGAATGGATATCGACATATTGATTGTGCAAAAGCATATGGAAATGAGAAAGAGGTTGGAGATGGGATTAAGAGTGCTATAGCAAAGGGGTATGTTAAAAGAGAGGAATTATTTGTTACAACCAAATTATGGAGTACTGATAAACATAAAGAAGATGTTCGACCAGCATGTCTTGAATCATTAAAGAAATTACAATTAGAATATCTTGATCTTTATATTATTCATATTCCATTAACAGCAGATAAGAAAACAGGAGAATTTACTGAAGAAATACTTCCAATTGAAGAAACATGGAGAGAAATGGAGAAATTAGTTGAAGAAGGATTAGTTAAAAGTATTGGAGTATCTAATTTCAATATTAAAAAGTTAGAAGAGTTATTAGCTATTGCTAAAATCCAACCAGCAGTTAATCAATTTGAATTTCATATTTATTATCAACGACCAAAATTACACCAATTCTGTAAAAAACATAATATTCATATCACAGGATATTGTCCATTAGGAAATCCAGGAATTAGTTCAGGAGTTCCAGCGCCATTTGAGAATGAAGTTGTTAAGGCTATTGCAAAGAAACACAATAAGAAAGCAGCACAAATTTGTATTAAATTCAGTATTGCAAGTGGACATTCAGTCATTCCTAAATCAGTTCATGAAGAAAGAATTAAAGAGAATGGAGAAGTATTTGACTTTGAACTTGATGAAGAAGATATGGAGAAATTAAGAGGATTAGACAAGAACATAAAAGTCTGTGATATGTCGTTTTATTTTAAGGACGAAAACAAAAGAAAAGAGTTTTGGGATGATGAATAAATAAAAGATAAGAATAAATAAGAAGTTAATATATTTTAAGGTTTTGAAATAAGAAAAAAGAAGAGTGACAAATGATAAAAGAAATAATAAAGACATAAGAATCAGATATATTTAATTATATGAAAATAAGTAGAAAATATAGTTTTAACAAGAAGAAAATGAAAAGAAAGATAAATGACATAAACCAATAAATTTTAAAGATAAAGATACTATTTGTTTTTTATAATAATACTGTAATACTGTAATACATAATAATAAAGAAAAAAGAAAGAATAAATAGTGTTAAGTGTAATAGAAAGAGAAAACACAATAAAAGATACAAATAAAAGAATCAAGAATGAATGAAATAAATTCATTAAAAAGGGATATAAAAAGAAATACAATAAAAAAATAAAATAAATGAATAATAAAATCAGAACCCAGTAATATCAGTTTGATAATCAGTGTATTGAGATTGTTGTGAATTGTCTTTGTTATCATTTCTTAGACTGTCAGTAGTATAAAATGGATCTGCTGAAATTCCTGTTTGTTTTTCAAACTCATCTGAATACAATGAAATAGTTCGATGAATAGGTTGACAAATTGGAAGACCTTTACATTCTGGAGGTTTAACCAATGTAAGTTTTTTAAAAGACCTTGGAGTGACCATACCTATTCTTTTATCTGCAATTGCTTCTTTAGGGTCTTCCATTGTAGGAACTATAAGAGGAGTACAACTATCAATTGGACTCACAACAGTATCAAGTTTAAGTGTTTGATTCATATTAATTTGATTTGCTAACAACTGAAGACAATGCTGATAACAATTAATAAATGCATTAAGTCTATCTAACTCAGAAGAGTCAAATTGATTTTTTTTATCAAAAAGTCTCAACTGAATTTCCATTAATTCACTATTTTGTTCAGTAAATAATATTCTTTTAAAATCAGAACGATAACAAACCAATTTAAATTAGTTCCTTCTTTATATAACTCAATCAATTCATCAACTTCAGTTGCTTTATGAACAGTAACTCTAATTTGTTTCTCAGTTTTTTTACATTTTTGAATAATTTCCATCCATTTCTTTGGTATTTCTTCTGTTTTGACTGATAAACTCTCTTCTTTTTTAAGTTCAGGGAAAAATACTCCACGTTGTTTATATTTATTATAAAGAAAAACATATTCTTCAAGTTCATTTGGAAATTTAAATGTCCATTCTTGAACTAATTCTCTACATTTTCTTGAAACTGAATTTAAATTTTTATTTCCAATTTTTACATTTTTAAATTCACCTATTACTTCAATATATGCAATAAAATCAATATCAGTAACTTGTCTTCTAAATGAAGGAGAATTACATAACACATAATCAACAAGACAAAATGTATAATACATCTCTTTTTCACTTATTTGTTTTTTTAAATAATATTTCATTTTTATTATGGTTTGAAGTCTTAATGACGTTCCTGCTCTTTCAATTTTTTTTATAATATTAGAAATTATTTCAAATCTGGAAATCGCAGGAGTTGGATTTAAATCACTAACTGCTTCTCCAATTAATTGACTTAGTGGTATTGATTTGTTAGACATAAGTTGAATGTTTAAGTAGATGAGGATATTCTATTTCCTTCGATTGGTATTATTTTATGTATTTTCGTTCTTATTTCTTATTTTTTTTTGAGTATTTTTGTCTTGTTGACGTCTTTTTTTCTTCTACCAATTCTTTTCTTTATGACTCGGGGATTTTTTCTTTAATTCTTTTTTAAGTTTGTCAATACTTTTTCTAAAACATTTAATTAATAATTGTTTTATATACCTTTTTAATAAAACCTAAAAACAAAGAAAAACTAAGAATTAAACGATCAGATGAATCCTACGGAAGATATCATCAAAGAAGGAGATACAGTTGTTATGTTTGGATCTCGTAACCAATATGAGATCATTCAAGTCAGTAAGGGGAAACAATACCATTGTAAATATGGTATATATCCACATGAATCATTGATTGGTAAACATTATGGTGATGACATATCAAGTAAAGATAATAAAGGGCATATGTATGCCTTAGCACTAACACCATCGTTATATACAACAGTTCTTCAACACCGTACACAAGTATTATATCATGAGACAATATCACCAGTATTATCATATTTTGATATTACTCCAAACTCTATTATTGTAGAATCAGGAACAGGGTCTGGATGTTTATCAGCAGCATTTGGGTCACGTTTACAATTTGGGAATGAACAAGGTAAAGGACATTTATATACATTTGAATTTCATGAACAACGAAAGATTAAAGCAGAGGAAGACTTTAAAATGCTTGGTCTTGACAAAGTTATTACAGTTGTATTACGTGATGTTGTACAAAATGGATTTCTTGTTGAAGGGTTATTGCATGAGCAAGAAGCAGATTGTGTGTTTTTAGATTTGCCAAATGTATATGAAGCAATTACACATGCATATAATATACTCAGAGTTGGAGGTAAAATTTGTTGTTTCTGTCCATGTATTGAACAAATACAAAAGTCATGCCAAGAACTTAGAAAAGATGGTCGGTTCACCAATTTATTAACAAAAGAAAATGTTATTAGACCATATTCAATTAAAGGAGTTGGAAAAAGAAGTGATGATTGTATGTCGAGTGAAATATTGTGTTGTCCAACAAAAACAATTAAAGGACATGTTGGATATGTAACATTTGCTATTAAGGCTAAGTGATTAATTTTTCTGAAGAATTTGAAAATGAAGTTCAATTAAAAGAAATAAACAAACATCTCATTT